CGTCTTTACTGGGGATGCACATTTTTTAACTTCGACCATCGATACCAATTAATTAGCATTGCTGGAATTTTAAAATTTTAACTCATGATATTATTGACACACTAAGGATCTATAAGTTCGAGTGATTTTAAAGAGGGTCATACGTTCCTTAAGAGAAAATGACATGGAAAAGGACTCCAGGATTTACAGCATTCATAATCATCAAGAGAGGAAAGAGATGTCCGCCTACAATCAGAGTTTAGATATTCACATCCGTTCATCTTTAGAATATTGCCAACGTCTCGTAGAAATGTTAGTCGGATCCTGATTTTTCTCTCTCTACCTCCCTGTCCCAAGATAGAAGAACATATTAAAATTGTTTTTTCATGTGATGAACACATTCAAAATGAGGTTTTTAATGACTTAACATCAGGATGTCGGCATGGTTTTCACTCTGGAAATGTCCAGGTGTGACCAAATAATCAGACTTTAATGACCTGGAACAGCAGAGCGGACACGAGGGAGACTGTTGATATCCTTATGTGTAAATGAGATGACACTTCAACACCCTCTATCATTGCTGGTCTTCATGTTTTCAGGAACGCTCAGCCGAGACGAAGGGGCAAGCGCCCTTTCCTGTCTTGAAAAACATCAAGTTCAGCTCTCAAAAAACTATTAAGTTTGGAATTAAATGTTGCCGGCTAGCGCGTAAATCAAGGTGTTTTAGAAAATCGTAAATGCTGACACCTTATTGTACGTTTCTGACCTGGTTCTATCTTACGAGTGTACTGTGGCAAAGAAAGGGTGAAAAATGAACTGAAATCGCGTTTCTCAGACTTCCGCTAACTTTTCTAAAAAAAAAAAAAATAAATAAGAAAAACCAACTAGCTAATATTGGCAAAATTTCTTGACAATCGTGTTTTAAGACAGAGTAAGTACTCGATTATTCTTGAAAAAGGGACCCTTACGCTGCTGCGTTTAAATTCCCCGACTTTTCCCAGTTTTCCAAACCACCGGCAATCCTACAGATTTTTTGGGTTTTTTTTCAAGATTTCCCTGACTTTTCTAGGTTTTCTTAAACGGCCACTATACTTCGAAAAACCGGGGTGTTTACTAAAACAGGCTGGCCAAAAATCAGTACTTCAACAGTAGTTTTTCAGTATATTCCCAAGAAATTCAGTGCCTTCTCAATAGAAAAATTCAGTACTTTTTCAGTACCTCCAATTGACGAAATTCGAAAATTTTCATAAATTGGATTACTCGCTCAAATCGCGACAAAAATGACCAAAAAATGAGTAAAATTCCGGACCTTCTTACGAAATTTCCGCACTTTCTCAGTACTTCCGGACCGCCCTGAAAAAATCAGTACTATTTCCGGACTTTCCAGAAATTCCGGACTTTTACACACCCCGCTCAATTCACTGTGCGCCGGCAATCCCAAAGATTTTTCAGGGGGTTTTTTCCCCAAAATTTCCGTGACTGTTTCAGGTTTTTTAAACGCTCACCATCCTGACTTTGGAAAACGAAAATCTACGTTAAATAACGTTTTACGTTACCGTTTACCGGACTTTTATACACCCTGCTCGATTCACTGTGCGCCGGCAATCCTAAATATTTTCCAGGAATTTTTTCCCAAATTTCCGTCACTTTTTCAGGTTTTTTCAACGCCCACCATCCTGATTTCGGAAGACGAAAATCCACGTGAAATACCGTTTTTTACGGGTAGATTTGGCAACGAGGCGTGGGAGAGGGCCGACCAATTTACGGTCGGACCGCGCGGCGCGTCAAAGTGCTGCGGTGCCGCTCTCCGGCAAAGCTCCGAATAATTACCCCCGGCGCGCCCCGCTACCCCCTCGTCCGGGCGAGCGCTGCCAACCTCCGCCGAGCCCCCCGAAAATCCCCCGTGGGACCCGCGGATTCCTCGCCCGGCTTGGCAACCCTGCCCGGAATGCGCTGGCCCCCGGTGCGGTGTGGCCCTGTGATCTTGTCTTAACACCTCGCGGCGCAGATGCCCGATCGATCCCCGGATTCTGGAATCAGGACTCTTCTAGAGTCCCTTCATACTGAGAGTCAAGAAACCCCCCTCATGGAGTCGCAAACGGGAATAAAGATGACACAAATTGAACGTTTTCCGTAATCTTTGATCGGCCCATTCTCAAATTCCTGTCTCCGTTCCTTCTATCATTCCGTTTGTTCCTTGCCGAACCCGTAATTCCTCGGTCCATTCCCGATTATAATCTTTGCAATCGGTGAAAATGTAATATTTATTCCCGTTTGTGACACTGTGGAGGCCTAAATTACGGGAACCAATCAGAAATGGATTCAAATTGTCTTGACTCTCAGTATAAAGGGACTCCCACTCCAGTATAAGGGGCTCTTCCAGAGTATTTGTGTACGGAGAGTACGGACATGTCGGTAATTTTGAGGTTAGGTTAGGTGAGATCAACCAAAAAGATTTGTTTGATCGACAAAACTTTTTGTTGAATCGATAGAAACCGTAGGTTATCCTGAGACATATGGGGATGGAAAAAGTTTTCTGCTGAACTGCGGGCTGATTGTTGGAATTTATAGACAAAGCTATAGACAAAGGAGACATAGGTAATATGAAGCGATCCCCTATTGCTTAATTTGGGTGGTTGTTACAGACTAAGGGAGAAAATTATGGACTAACTGAAGGGTCCCACGTGAGTTGCCGTTAGTCCAGTTAAGTCCAGAGTGTCTACTAAAACAGGCTGGTCAAAAATAAGTACTTTTAGAGTACTTTTTCAGTACACTCTCAAAAAATTCAGTAACTCCTCCAACAGAAAAATTCCGTACTTTTTCAGTACCTCCATTTTACGAAATTAGGAAAATTTCAAAAATTAAAAATTGCGACAAAAATTACAACAAATTCCGGACCTTTGGGCGGAATTTCCGCACTTTTTCAGTACTTCCGGAACCGTCCTTAAGAGATCAGTGCTATTTCCGGACTTTCCGAAAATTCCGGACTTGTAAACACCCTGTTAAGTCAACTACACGCTGTACAAACGACGGGAAGTCCTAATGGCGATAAAGCTTCGTCCGATCCGACAACCCAGCCTAATACTCGGTACTTACACCTTACTTTAATCTCGGGAATCAGCATTCCGGGGGGGGGGGGGGGGTTCCATTCAAAAATTGAGTGGAAGTTCGGCGTGTCGGGCGCTACCCAAATATTGTTACGCCTTTCAATTTCGGGGATTATCCTCAAAGAATCCACCGCCAGGCTGACGATTATCTCCGGAGAGCAGCATCTTGGCTGCGTTCACCCGTGGACGAGGGCCAACGTACTGGATTCGGGACTCGGTGAAAAGGTCGAAGATCCATGTACTTGGGTGATTCTCAAACACAGCATTCCCGATTCGCAACACATCTTCGATGCAAAATCACAAGATTCGCCACGGAGCGGTTCAGGGAATAATTTGCATCCGAAAATTTTTTAATTATTTTATTTAGTAATTCTTGGATAAGGTTTTTTTGGAAGTTTATTTTTAGCCTTGATCGGAAGATCGACTTCCTTGGGCGGCTTTCAACATCGACATTCCGGATTGGCAACACATCTTCGATGCAAAATCTCAATATTCGCCATAGAAAGGTTCAGGGAATAATTTGCATCCGAAATATTTTTAATTATTTTATTTAGTAATTCTTGGATAAGTTTTCTTTTTTGGAAGTTTATTTTTAGCCTTGATCAGAAGATCGACTTCCTTGGGCGGCTTTCAACATCGACATTCCGGATTGGCAAAACATCTTCATTGCAAAATCTCAATATTCGCCACAGAAAGGTTCAGGAAATAATTTCATCGAAAATATTTTTACTTATTTTATTTTAGTCATGCTTGGATAGGGCTTTTTTTGGAAGTTTATTTTTAGCCTTGATCAGAAGATTGACTTAGTTGGGAGGTTTCAACCACGGCATTCCAGATTCGCAATACATCTGCGATGCAAAATCACAAGATTCGCCACGGAGCGGTTCAGGGTGATAAATTGCAAGGGAAATATTTTTAATTAATTTCGACGCCTTTAAATTTTTCCTGAATTAAGTGTTTTTTTGTTTTTTTTTAAAAGGGTATTTTTAACCTCAGTTAGGTCCAACTTGAGAGCAAAAGCATTTTTAATGGATTTGGATTTGGCATTGGCATTGACGAGAATATATTGTACACTGGGAGCTCTTGCCGTTTTCCTCCTTTCACCAGTGGCGTGGCGTGAATGATCGATTATCGATATTTTCCCACTTGAAGCTATGGTAAAGAATCGATTATTAAGGTGTTCGCTGCGAACACCCAGTTTATCGATCTTTTTCTATAGGTTTAAATGACAGATAAATCGATAAATCGCAAAGCACGCCACGCCACTGCCTTTCACCAAGTCTGCCATTTCTCTGACATGGAATCACTACCGCACATTAACCTGCTCCTTATCTACTATACAACACTTGAGTCGGAGAATTCAATGCGCTGATGGACTTGGCGGAAAAAGGGAAGAGTCAAAGAGAGAGAAGCACGGAGAGAAGGGATTGAGAAGAGGAAAATATCGAGTTGACTTACCTTCCATTGGGCAAGCGTTTAAATCAGAGAGAAAAAAATCCGGACTGATTGCAAACGCTATCCGAAAGTGACGCGCGGGTGATGAATGGTGATGAGCTAAAATGAAAATAAATCATGGACTTACCTGGTGAGCGGGAAAAATCAGTTGACGGCTTTGATCCGCGAGGATAAGTGCATAAAGATTAAATAAAGTATACCCATTAAGGAAAAAAGCACCGTTAAAATTACTTACAGTGGAAATTCTGATCGGGGAAGGGGACATAAAATTGGGCTTAAAATAGGTTTGTCTTCAAATCGATAAATTAGCAAAAATAATCAAACGTCTTCAACGTTGATTTGTTTGCAATCAGTCAACTGAATTCAATCGCAAGTGAGAAGAAGAAGTGGAGAGATTAGGAGCTTTCATGGCAAAACCCACACCCAAAATGGAAAAAAAAGAATGGGATAAAAACAAACCTCCAAGACAATTGTAATGAGCTTCTAGATATTTTGACGTATCGGGACAGGGGTCAGAATCGAAAATTTCCTGGGAAACATTAAAACTGCAACTTCGACGATTTTCACACCTGAAAAATCACAAAATAAAAGAGAGGCAAGTGATAAGATGAGAGCTGAGAAAGATGACTGAAACCAAAAAATTTACCGAGAAAAACTTGAAAAGAAAGGAGAAAAATGAGCAACTACACAGGAAAGAAATCTAAAAAGAGAATAATTATAAAAAAAATATGAGACAGGAAGCAAAAGGGTCAAAGAAAAATATTTTTCAATAGAAATAGAGAGGGGCAGAGCAGGAATCATTCCCTTTTTTCTTTTCTTTTTTTTTAAAGAAAATAAAATGTGACCATTCGCGGGAAAAGGAACCTCAGTCCACTGGAACGAATTTTTCATGAAAATGAACTTTGTCAAGTTGGGGCAACAAATCGTTAGAATCAGTAAAATAGAAAACGTATCCTCGTACCGCAAAGAAAAGACTGTTAACAATTTTGTTCATTTAAACCCCAATTGAAGGCGTGTATTGCGATATTATGATCGATCAACTGTGAACATACAAAGCCAAACCAAACCAAAACCAAATTGTAGAACCACATTCTTTAATAAGCAACCTTAACCCGTTTAATTTACCATCACAAATATTTCCGTGCAGATATCTTTATATAACACTCTTAGGTAATGCGTCGAATCACAGTTAAAGGAACGTAACTCTATTCCAAGGATCCTAAAAGTGACTCGAACGATACAATTTTCAACAGAATAATAAATATGCAATGTCGGTCCAAAATTTTCCTGATCTTTTAGTGCAATCAGAGGAAAAAATCAGCGAAATTTTCGGTCGGAAATCCCAGGCAGATTCTTGATAAAAATATAGTTTGCGAGTGTAGATTATGCAATTCTGAAATGCAGCTACGTTTTTTGGCTAGGAAACGATGAATTATGAGAATATACCAATGCTGAGTTTTTCGATCCCTTCTTTCCACGAACACAAGGCAGAAAAAAATCAGGTTCCTCCGATTGGATTGTCGAATACACCCATCGCTAAATTTATTTCAACAGTTTTTATAAAATGAAAGTTGAGAAATGGCAACGAAGAACGCCCGGGAAAATAAATAAATTCTCGTGAGATGAACCAAAGGTATCGCCTATCGCGTTCGCTGTTATGCATCTCTCTGCGCCATTCAATAACAGCGCTAATATTTCGCAACCCGATACGCGACAGTGGCGTGGCATGCTTTATGCCCTTTAAACGTATTGAAAAGGGTCGATAAACAGGGTGTTCACGACGCGCACCTTAATAATCGATTCTATACGACAGCTTCTAAGGGGAAATATCGATAATCGATCATCACGCTTCGCCACTGATACGCGACAAATCATTTGGACGGGAAACCGACTTCCACGTCTGCCCCGGAAAAACTGAAGCTCAAAAACAGCTTTCCCGCCGACTTCAGTCCCGCGGCGCACGATGGAACGAGTCTATGGGGGAAGTTGGACATAATATGAAAACTTTAAAAGCTTTAAACTCCGCTCATACACATCTTTGAGGTTCTAAAAGTGGTTTCATTGGTTTCCTCGTGAAATTTTCGTTGAGAAGCATCCTTTACAATTTAAAGTGTGACGAATTAAACATCAAATTTGGCAGTTTAGTCGGCCTCCTATGGTGTAGTGGTTGTAGCGCTTGCTCTATGATCGGGAGGTCCCGGGTTCGATTCCCGGCCAGGCGACCCGAGTTTGATGGTCTCAAACAATTGTTGCCTGGGACTGGTGCAGTAGGGACGGAGGGGGGATGGGACTTAAAGCGTAGGATTAGCCCTTGAGGGCTATTTGAAGTAGTAAAAAAAAAAAAAAAAAGTTTTAGTTAGAAATCCTATGTCCAACTTCTCTGATTGCATAGAGAAAAAAAGGAGGTGTTTGCATTTCGGGCATCTTGGAATATTTTGATGACTTGATGATGTAGGTGGGTACAGCTGGGTACAGCGACGTCCCCTTCACGCTGTACCCACCTACGTCATCAAGTCATCAAAAAATTCCAAAATGCCCGAAATGCAAACACCTCCTTTTTTTTCTCTATGCTCTGATTGACTTGACCTACTGTGCGGCGCGCAAAAAGTCAACATAAAAGCGACTCCGCATATTTCTGCCTCGCTAAGGAAGAACGCCGTATGAACATTCGAGAGTTGCCAAATTTCCTTCGATGAAATGTTTATTTTTGAGGAAAATTATGAATATTTTTCATTGAAATTTTCAGACGTTTCAGATCAAATTACAAACAAAATTATCTGAGAAATTGGTAGACAAACATTCAAAAAAATTCCAGAAAATTAGTGATTTGCCGGGGGAAACTTGGCAACGCCTGACGGCTCATACGGCGTTTCCCTTAGAACAGCAGTATTCATCCGCGCGTTTTCCCGCCGAGACTGAAAACTCGGTTTTCGCGACAGGAGATTGGGGCGCTCTTTCACTCGCTTCTGCCTGTTTTTTTCCCCTCATCCCTTTTACAAAATCGGATGCTCCAATTAAAATCAATCTTCGCAACGGAAATCCTCTAATTAAAAGTAATTTATAGCTGTTGCGTCAATACCGAGCTCAAAAGGTTGAAGCAAGGAAAAATTCATCACCTCTTGATTTCTCACCGTGTCGGGTGCTGCGAGGCTTTTGATTCGAATGGTATTTACGTCGTTTCTGCACAGCGATTTGTCTGATCTCCGTTCGCGTTGATCTTTCCGGTGGCTTTCAGTAGAATCTGCTTTCGACGGCGGATTAAAATACCGTTCTGAGGAAAAACGCCTCATAAAATTCGGGAGCTGTCAGATTTTCTCTGACACCAGGTTTGTTTTTGCCCAAAATTATGGGTATTTTCCCTTCGAAGTCACGAGGACACTAGATTAAATTGCAGATAAAGTTCCCTTAAAATTCAAGAATAAAATTCTCACAAATTTATGAGAAAGTTCAAATTTTATCATGGTCAAATTGGCAACGTCCCAATGCTCATACTGTGTTTTTCCTTGGCACGACATCAGTAAAGATGAAAAGATGGAAAGATCAGCTGTGGATGAAAGCAGGTGAGCTCGAAACGGTACAGAGCAAAACCCACGGCGAACGAGTGTAAAAGCGACAAAAGGCCGCAGAAAAAAGTTGAAAAAAAGAGGCTCATTATGTCCCAACCTGTTCCAAGTTGTGTCACAGTGTGTCGCTTACACGCTTCCATGAATGCAATTGAGTGGTTTGCCTGATGCTATTCAATTTCTCTCAAATTTACGCAATTTCAGAAGAATTTCCGAAGTCTCTCCTTGTCACCTCCCAGAAATTCGGCTGATGATGCCCGTGCAAAAAAAAAAAAAAAAAAAAATCAAGTTAAGGGAGAACTGCTAATCTTTATTACCCAATTTACTACTATCTACAGAGATTTTAGGGCAAGATGTGGCTTGGAATTCACTCGATGCTACTCAATTTCGCTCAAATTTAGTACATTTCAGAAGATTTTCCGAAGACTCTCCTTGTCCCTTCCCTGAAATGATTCTGAGTTGATGCCCGTGCAAAAAGAATTAAATGCAAGGGAAAACTCCTGATCTTTTTTACTCAATTTGCTGCTATCTACAGAGACTTCGGGGCGAGATGTGGCCCGAAATCCACTCGGTGCATTCGCCTCGTCGAGCATCGACATTTTTAACTTATCTGCCCCGGCGGCCTCATAACTTACACCTCCCCGCGGATGCACCTGCATAAGGAGCGTCGATTTGATAATGAAATAAATAAATCACTAAAAATGCACCGCGGCGCGGGGGGGTCGCGACCCGTAATCGCCAGGCTTGCCACCCTCCCCGCGAGAAAACCCCCTCGAAGCAGTAGCATGGCGTGCTTCGCGATATTTCGATTGGTCCGCCGTTTAAGCCTATGGAAAAGAATCAATTGATAGGGTGTCCGCAACGAACACCTTGACAATCGATTCTTTACCACAGCTTCAAACGGGGAAATATCGATAATCGATCATTCACGCCTCGAAGCCGCGCAACCGGGGGATTTTTTCGAAGGTTGGCAATGGTTCCGATCACATGGTTACCCTTTCGTTACTTCCGGTAGAACCGCTCCCGGATCCCACGGGACCCGATCGAAAATGGAGGGAGGGGGTGGGGGGAGGGGGG